AAATCCAGAGTTGTGGGAACCAGAACTAGAAATTGGGGAAGAAATTTCGCTGAGTAGACATGGGTTGTTTAAAGGGTGGAGGTCGTTACACTGCATCTGTTTGATATGGGAATTACAGCGACGTATACAATGCGTATAAATCTTTCCTTTCAAAAACAACTTCATGGCTGAGAAGGGATGAAAGTCAGAGGGTGCAAGGTCAGGAGAGTAAGGGGATGGGGGAGGATTTCATAGCCACACGCCTGTGCTGCTGATCTGGCGACATGCTAGTTGTGGACCGGAGTGTTGTTCTGCTGATCTTGCCCCACTTCTTGATTTTGATAGCTTCCTTAATCCTCTTTCTCCTAAGTCTTACTTACTATGGTGCATCATTTGTCTGTCCCTCTGACAGACATCATATCCGAAGTCTAACTTACTATGGCAACCATAAATCTATTCTCTTTTATCCCAAGTCAAACTTTGTATGGAAAGCACATCTGACCCTCCCCAGGGGGTAAGTCAATGTTTTATGTCAAACTTTTAGGCAGTCCAAAAAGCAAACATACTTAGCATAAATATACAGTGTAGTGCATTGTTAGCTTCTAGAAACTGACTTGTATACACAGCTTTTTGGTGCTCCAAGCAAAAACTTTTCCAGCATTGTGAAACTTAGTGAATTCAACTTGAATCATGGGAAAAACAAGTAAGTACAATCTGAGTTGTTGTAACTCTTAATGAATTGAACTTGAGTAGTCTAAGCTACATATAAATTCAACTTAAGTGCGCTTGAATTCAACAAAATTAGAGTTAGGTGGACTCTGCTACAAATGAATTAAACTTGAGTGGGCTTAGCTACAAATGAATTCAACTCAAGTGAGCTTGCATTGAACAGAATTAGAGTTAGGTGGACTCTGCTACAAATGAATTAAACTTGAGTGGGCTTAGCTACAAATGAATTCAACTCAAGTGAGCTTGCATTGAACAGAATTAGAGTTAGGTGGACTCTGCTACAAATAAATTCAACTTGAGTAGTTATAAAATCTAACAGAGTTAGATTTGAGTGTCTGCAAATACAAATAATTTGAACTTGATTTGCCATAAATGTTACTTTGTTGGGCATTGCAAACAATAGATTGACCCTGACAAAGTACCTCTACTTCCTTTGGGCTTAACTATTTGCACTGCAAATAAACCAATTGTACACAACGATTATATAACTAGGGTGATCATGAAAGGGGGCTTGACTTTGCTCCACAGCACTGTAAATCAGAGTAAATATTTGAATTGTTTTGACTAAAGCTAATTCTATTTGGAAATATGGGCTAATATATCTTCATTATTACTGTCTTTGCAGACGATTCCACTGGTCCTACAGCCCTTGCATGAAATGACTTTGAGAGAGGTGGCTTCTTTGAAAATTACTGACCAAGAACATGATCTTGTTACAGAGATATCAAGCAACAGATCTGGTAGAGTGAGAAAGAAAGTGTTTCTGCCCAGTGCACCTGAACATAAGTCTAATAAGGTAGGATCTGACAAATCTTTACCTACACCCATGCACACAAATAGTGACAGTTATGTCCCTGATAGTTCCCATCCTCCAGTTACTGCTAGTACTAGTACTAAACGTAGAAAGCTTAGTAAACACCACAGAAAGTCAGAAAGAAGACATGGTGGCAATACTAGCGACAGTGATGAGGATAACAGCAGCAAGCATAGAAAAAAGTCAAAGCGCCATAAAAAAAAAAGAACCCATCACTCGAGTAGCAGCACTGACCGTCTTAGTTCTAACGAAAATGTACCCAAGATTTTTGGAGAAATTGAAGGAGAGCATGAAAATGTACCTGGGAATGCTGGACAGATGGATAGTGGGTTGAAACATGTACTGGAAAAAGGTGGAGATGACAATAAGCGTGAGGATGGACAGATTAAAGATAAAGATGAGGGTGGTGGTGGTGGTGATGGCAGTGTGCTTGAGGAAGGAGAAATCAATGATGATGATGTTGAAAAAAATCAACCTGAGAATGTTCAAATTGATGGTGGCAATGGGGATGGGAATGTGCTTGTTGATGGTGGTGATGAAAATCTACAAGGTGAAGATGAAAATTTACCTGGGAATGGCCAAATTGAAGGTGGAGGTGATGCTGATGAAGAAAGTGATATCTACAGTGACCTAGACCTTCCTCACAATGTCATTCCAACTCCCCCTAATCTAGATAGTGGGATGGACACCTCTTCAGGTGAGGAAAATGATGAGCCTGATATGGAATACCACAGACCTATTCCTAGTCTTGATAGGCAAATAAGAATTGAAACAACATGGAACAGAAATCTAGACTATGTTGAACCTACATTTCACATTGAAGATGATGATAGTGACGCCTATGAAGACATACCCATGGATGATGATGGGTGGAGTCCTTTGCTCCATAGACACAGTGTAGAAGACTTTTCTGGCGAAAACCCAGGTGCTAATTTAAAGGCTGAGGACATACCTACACCTCTCAGCGCCTTTCAGAAAATATTTCCTCCCTTATTAGTGACAAGACTTAGAAAAGAGACCAATGCATATGCCAAATGGGTAAAACACAGAAAAGGTGCTGACAAGTATTGGTTAAAAATAGAAACTGATGAAGAGATGTCAGCCTTTCTTGGTATAATAATTTTAATGGGTGTTGATCCCAAAAGTAGCACTTCAGACTATTGGTCCAGTAATGCTGCACTGAGAAATGAAAAAATTGCTTCAGTCATGAGCCGAGGTAGTTTCCAGAAGATATTGCAGTACTTTCATTGCAACGATGCAAGATATGACCCATCCAATATTCGGGATCCAGATGAAAGGGCAAGAGAAAGACGTCGGCAACCACTCTACAAGGTTGCACCAATAGTAGAAACCATTATGTCTCTCTCAAAATTGTGCTACAATCTTCACAGAGAACTAGCTATAGATGAGGCAATAATTGGATACAAAGGGAAGTTCAACGGTATTCCAACCGTCTTTATTCAAGGAAAACCAAGAGCTAAAGGCTTTAAAGTGTATGTGTTAGCAGACAGCCATTCCAATTATGTTGCAAACCTTAAATTTATGACTACAACTGGAAGCCATGAAGAAGACATGAGGGATGTCTCTAGAACCACAGCAATATGTGACAATTTGATTAGTCCTTTTAGTGGCTTACATCATGTCGTATACACTGACAGTTTCTATACTAGCATCCAGATGGCAGACAGGTTGTTAGATTATCACCACACATATGTTATTGGGAGCATAAGACAAGATCGTAAGGGATTTCCTAATGCCCTCAGATCAAACCCACGCAGAAACCCTGAAAGTGCCAAGATTAAAGATTTATGCCGAGGACAATTTGCAGCTCGTCAGAAGGGCAGTTTGGTTGTGGTGACATATAAAGATTCCAACCTTTTGAATCTGTTATCAAACTGCAGTGAAGGATTTCGGGAAAACAACGAAAGAATAAGTCGGTTTATACTGAATTCTACTACCCGTCGAAAGACGATTCACAGCCTTCCAGCCCCTGATGTTGTTTCTCAATACAATAAGCACATGGGAGGGGTTGATCGTGCCAACCAGATAAGGTCATATTATTCATCTCAAAGACAAGCACATAAATGGTGGAAGTATGTGTTCTTTTACCTGTTGGACACCGCATTGTGCAACAGTTGGATCCTGTTTCAAGAGTTGGTAGATGATAAGAAATCCCACAAGATGTTCCAAGTCGATGTTGCATGTGCCTTAATTGGAGGGTTCACATCAAGAAAGCAAAGATTGACAACATCCGATCCAATCATCAGCACATATAATAACCATCATTTGGTGAGAGGGGATGGAAGAGGTGCTTCATGCAGGATGTGTATTAAACTTGGCAGGAAGACAGCTAAGGGGCACTACGTTTACAGTGTCAATAAGTGCAGTATGTGCAACATCAACCTTTGCCGTGACTGTTTTCTCCCATATCATCATGAAGCCACATGCAGCTCCACAAAATCAACGAAAGAGACCCAGACTGTGCAAGATGATCAGGCCCATGCTAGATGGCTGTGGGACAGGAGGGTTAATGGAGAAGGGCAACAAGGAAGGCAACAAACCAGAAGAAGTTCTTCAGTTGGAAGAGGAAGGGGAAGGGCAAGTCGTGGACGATAAACACAGATGACATTTAGTAGTAGTTACCTAGTAGTTAGTAGTAAAGGAAAAATATGTACACTTAGTAGTTATTTTATAGTACTAGTTAAAATAAATGGGCCCCAGGGGTTGGGGGTATTACCAATATAACTTATATCATGCATACATATATTGTACATGCATATGTTATGAATTCAAAATATATGTATTGATGTCATATTGCTTTGTTATATGTATTCTTACAGATTAATAATATAATACTAGAAGATTATTAGACTTATAGATTTTGTTGTCCACAGAAGAGTACTTGTTCTCATAAAGGTAACCAGACTACATAGTCTGATGACAGTATGTGGACCCAAGTCAAAAATAGTTATCTTCAACAGTCACCCTAGTTGAAATTAATTGTAATTCCCACTAGCAGAGTTGAATTTACTTGTAGTTATAAACAGCCCTATTAGAATTTATTTGTAGTTACCTAAGCCGTATTAGAATTTACTTGTAGTTACTTTAGCCCTAATGGAATTTACTTGTAGTTACTTTAGCCCCATTGGAATTTACTTGTAGTTACTTTAGCCCCATTAGAATTTACTTGTAGTTACTTTAGCCTCATTGGAATTTACTTGTACATGTTACAGCTCAAGTCCAATAAATTCGTAGCAATGGTTACCCAACTTAAATTAACTTGTAGTTACTTGCACTCAAATGAAATTAGGTAAGTTGTAATGTAATACTCAAGTACAACATAGTATGCAACTTTGCATCCTTGGTTAAATGAGATTTCAAATGAGTCACCATAGAAAGTTTGACTTGGGATAAAATGTGTGTACCCCCCTGGGAGAAAGAGGAATTTATTAATTTCATCAAAAATGAAGCGTAATATGCTCCTGTAATTGTGGTGGGGGGTGGGTGTTTACCTGGGCATGGGCTCTTACCTGGATAAGTACGGTATATCTGCAAGGCTTATGGACCATTGTCATTAATATTTGGCACATGCATCATACATATTGCTACATGTCCATGCAAGTTTGTTTCATAATGTTCAAATTTGATACAAACATTATACATGTGCAAATATATGTCCATGATGATTCGTTTCAAGTTCAATTCCAAAATGACCACCCATCTTGTTTTTTTTCAAAATGTATCATTGACATTGGTTTTTCCACTTCAAATTATACACGTTAGGATACATGTTCATGACAATAGTTTCACAATTGGATCAAAGATGGTTGACTGCCTGCAATCTTGCTTTTTGACCATACTACTATTATATTATCTCTGTACATGAGCCTGGACAAAGGCAATTCAGTTTGAATACAAAAAATGCATGAATAGAAAATCTTGTTTATTTCTGATCATATATTTCAATTTTGGAAGAGTAATTTAATACATCTAATTTCTGTTGATACTAGACCAGCCAACTAACTATGCTTTTGGTCGGTAACTTTATTTTTGGCATAAAAAATATTTCCCCTAATTCCAACGGTTACGTCATTAACAATGACTTGTTCTATTTCACATGTGCAGGTTTTGTGATGTATGTGACAGGTACATATCTTCGGAGAATGTACATTGTGAAAAATGTAATAAATGTACATCCAAGGATGGTAGAAGATATCATCACTGTGAACTTTGCAACCATTGTGTTAAGCCAGGTGAGTGTATTGATCCATATATTGCATTGACGAGTTCACCACCTGTAGTGACATGTGTGTTGTCATCTTGCACAAAGTAATGCCAGTATAAGTACTTGAGATATCTAGGTATGCAGAATCAAATATTAATATTATACCATGCTGTAAAAATGTCTTAAGAATACAATGATCGATACATTCATAGCAGTAGATTTGTTAGTGGCCTCACTCATTCATTCGAGTTTTGAATATTAAGATCATTATTTTGAGAGTTGTTTCCTATCTGCAGGTCGTGAACATTGCAGTACGTGCAATCGATGTGAATTGGTGAAGCATAGATGTATAAGTGATAGGTCGTCACTCGGTTGTCATATCTGTGGTGACCTCACACATAAAAGACGAGAATGTCCCCAACGAACTGCTGCCAAACCTGGTGGTAAAGGTAACAGGAAAAGGTATGGCCACTCACAGAATACAACTAGAATGAAATTTGTTTTATTTACATTCTATTGATTTCTTTGAAAATACTGATCTCATGTTAAAACTTCACAATACATCATAATGATTCGATTCAATATGACTGAATGCTAGATATATCAAAATCAGGAATTTCAGCCATAACGGAAAGTGATTGGTGGCATTTGCACACAGTTGGATCAAATTGAGTACATACAAAGCATATAATAGGACCTCGATGCACGTTATTTGTTTTGAACGAATTCAAAATGGTTAGCTGCAGTTTGATTTTCAAAAATGCTGTCCCAGAGCCACATCTCAAACAAATCTTGACATATTACATTCATACTTTACCAATACATGCTAAATCAGACGGACTGTTGTCACAATTTAAACATTACGCAACTTGATCTAATATATAACTTACACACTTATTTTGTCAATGACTGATTACTTCAGATTTTTATGAAGTTTGATTTACAGTTGCACTCTGAAGTCATTCCATTGTTTTATTGGAGTCTTGGAAATATTATGAGAGACACTATTCTAAGCGTTGACAAATGAAATTCAAACACACAATAAGATGAAAAAGATTTGTATCTAGAATGCTGAGACTTCAAACTGTGCCATCAAAGTTTACCAGTAGGCGGGTCACTAAGGATACTTCAGAGTCATCATGTCGAGTAATAGTGTGGTATGGAATAAAATATACTCCAATGTCTAAGTAAATGTGTGTTTATTCATGAAGTTTTGGCCTTGGATGTTCTCTTTTTTCACTTAACCAAATTATAATTATATATTATCAAGTGCTGCAAAAGATGGTCGTACATTTAGAACTTAGTACTAAAAATCATTAAATTGAACATTTTAGAACATAATTCCCACAATTCATGATTATTCACACCATCCAATATAAATTTATAATAGATCCAATACCATGGATGTCCAGGCATGGTACAATGCAATATAATCCAAATTGATGCTTAATATCTTAAATAGAGAAATAATCTCCTGTGGGAGACACGTCAACGCACCCAAATACAAACCGTTCCCCACCAACCAACCAACAAACAAACAAACAAACAAACAACGTGCGATGCAAAGATTCAAGTGAAAAATGAACATCTTTTCAAATAAATTCAACCTTTCTCATTATTTCCAGAAAACACAATTCACTTGCAAGCGATACAGCTGGATCAAGTGATACAACAGTGATTGATGAGAGTTTTAAAACGTCAGCTGATAATGTCAACTGTAGAAAAGATAGTATTGAAAGCACAGGGGTATATACAACAGACAACACACCATGTAAACACAGACGCAAGCCAAGCAAATCAAACAAAAAGAAGAGAAAGTTCCACAAGAAATCTTGATAAAAGCAGACAAATTGACTCACTAGCTTACCTAACAGATTTTGTTTTGTATTGTTTTGTTTACATTATAAAAGACCAACGTGAAAATAAAATGAATTTTATCCTTTTATGACTTTTGTAAATTTTGTTTTAAGATGTCTATACACAGTGTTTGAAATGTGCTTATGGATTCCATTTGCACAACGTAATGCATTGGAAATGTTTTTTTGAAAGTTACTACAAAGTTAATTCATGCAATATATTTGTCTGTAAACCTAACATTAACAAATTATGTAGATATGAAACACGTCAGGGTTTCCTGATTGTAATAAGTTAAAAAAGACCTAAACTTTCCAACATCAAGTAAAACACACGATACACAAACACCATTTTGATATAGGTGAAGTTTTGGTCAAATTCGGCCCTAATCATGCAGCTCAACAATGAAATCTCTCTGCCACGGAGCAGTCTTATACTCGTTGATTGGTCAATCAAAATATTGCCATGCTGGTGTTCGTACATGTTTGGCCGTTTTCAAAATGGAAAGCTAATTTTCTTATAGCACAACGAGTGGCAGTAGGACAAATTAGTCATCAAAACCATTGCTTTTGTTTATATTTCTTAGCCTGGCAATGGACAGAACGGGTAGCTTGGAGAACAGTGTTAATGTTGGAGTTGAAGTGAAAAGATACACTTTATTGCATCCACTCTGTGACAAGTAGACTGAAGGATAAGAACAAATTACACCTTGCCTTAATGTATTAGAGATCATTTAGTGATAAATATTCAATTCTGAAACAAAAATAAACAAAAACAAAAAAACTATTTTCAGTAAACAGTACATTACTAACTCATTCCACCTTTATGCAGTATTATTTGTATTTGTAAATTGTCTCATTAATTTTAACTCACTCGAATATGATAACAGGTTTGAAGTTTCTAGTTAGCATCAGAGTCATGCAACAGGTTAGCAGCTTCTGTTCATTATTACAAGTTAGCAGCATTGAATATCGTCACAGGTCAACAAATCCTGTAATATAAGACTGTATACTCTAAATTCGACTATGAAAACCAAAACATGAACATTTCTAATTGTGCATCACTAAACTAGTAAACCAGCTAGATTAACTATGCTAACAGTTTGGTGATCACCTCAGC